CTGCGAGACCTCGGTGTCTTGACAACAGGGGACTTGGCAATTGGCGGTGCGATAGGTGCTTGGACCGATGGCGACACATCCCGCGCCGAAGGCGGCGGCTGTGGCGATACCGCTGGAACAAACACCGGGTCAACTACCAACGAAAGCTGAGGCTCGGTGATGAGCACTCTAGGTCTGTCGGCAGTTGATGCACTCTTAGATTTACCCTTAGGGACTACGATCACTTGTCGAACATGAGGAGGCGTTATTGGGGGCGTTCCTCTTAGTGCATCGGCGGTTACGACGACACGGACCCGCTTAGATGCTGGCTCGACAAGTTGAGGTTTCGGGTGACTAGGTTGGCTAGCCCCAGGACGTTCACCGTCAAGCCAGGTGAGCCAGCCAGCCTCTTCAGTCCTACCTTCAAGGTTGCGGATGCGGCGAGAACGCGCCTCAGGGTCGGAATTATCCGAGTCTTCAGCACCAAGTTCATATACGTCTGCATTTGGGCTGACTTGAATGGTGGATGACGGGGGCAATAGCTGGCCGCCCTCGGCCTGCGGGGTGTTCGACCAGTCCAAGTCGTAGACTCGATCTCGGGCCTCCTCAATCGGCATTGACGGTTCGTGTTCACGGTCCCATTGGGTCCTGCGTAGACGAAACGGTGTCAAATGTCGGTGTAGGAATGCACCAGGACCCGGGGTCATAACGACCGGTCGGACTGGTACCGCGCCAGAGGCAGCGGCTTTTGCACTCGGTGATGAATGGTCCTGGTCAGAGACGGGCGCCTCGCGAGAGGCAGCCCCTTGCTCTTCAACCTCTTCCTCCTCCTCGAACCCGGCCTCCTCCTCCTCGCCTGTGTTGTCAGGCCGTTCCTGTGACACTGCTTGACCGAGATTGTCGTCCTGCTTGTGCATCACGGTCACTTCGTGACGGTCAGCATCAGGCTCAGGCGGACTCACTGCAGCGGCAGATGGGACAGTATATGACGGACTGACTTCGGGTGTAGGACCTTGCGGAGGCAATGGTGCTGGGCCTTTTGGTGGAGGGGGAAGGTGAAGAGGCGACGATGTCTTGGACACTTCGACGGATGGATTCCCCGCTTTCAACGGTGCAGGTCCGGCACTTGTAGGATTAGCGACTGACGTTACCTTAGTAGTCGGACTATTGGATGCAGGTTTACTAGCAGGTGCCGAAGTGCCCGCGCCAGAGGCTGCGGCTTGCTTGGCTTTTGGGCCAGCGGCCTCTGACTTCGGTTTGTCTGACTTGATCTTGGCTTCAACTTCGGCACGAGGCTTGAGCACGACCGGAATGTGGCCACGATCAAGTGTTGGGCGCCAACCCCCGGCAGCATGTGATGAACCGGTCGTCGCCTGAGCGGCTGTAGATGCCTTAGGTGCGGCAGACCGAGATCGATCGGTGCGAGGGGGAGCGGCAGATGATGAGGCTTTGGAACCCAAATCGGACCCTGTCTTTGGTGTCGCAATCTTAGCTTCGGCTGAACGCACACGGCGAAGAGGCACGAAGGGATGGCCCGGCCCTTCGGGTAGCCTACACTTGGGTTGGCGAATACCTTGCAACAGTGCGGGGTTGATGGAATAAAGGAACTGCCAAAGCTCAGGTAGAATGGTAGCCCATTGAAGGATAATGTCTACTGACAGCAATTCCCCGTCCGTTCTAAACGCCCACCTGTCAGAGTGTCGAGTGACGTACCCGAACCACTCCTGGTATTGCTTGCGGGCCACCTTAGGTGGGATGTGTGGGAGATGGAAGTGACTACCGAACCGTGCATAGGTGGAAGCACCTAGTTGAGCGATGATGTATTCGGAAGTCTTCCCATAGGCGAGGTTTTCTCGTCCAGGGACGTGCTTCGCCCCGGCCCTGCAACCCCTCCTGCGGGTGCGGTCCCTCTCCCCCTGTCCCGCGCTTGAAGCAGCGGCTTCACCACCCTCACTCTCCGGCCGTTGTCCTCCACTTTCGACGTTTGCAGGCTCCGGCTCAACACCGGCCTCAACTGCAGTGGCTTCCAAGGCGGCCTCGAGGTCGTGCTGCTCTTGGATCCGTCGTGCAGTGTCTTCGTTCTCCTCGTCCTCAACGGTTGACTCTTCGTCGTCTCCGAGGGGATCGAAATTATTGCTAGTGGGGACAGGCGGACTATGTGGGGTAGACGAAGCCTGTGCAATTAAGCGTTCAGGTGGAACGAATTCTTCAGGCTCGTCCAGCGTAGGGACCGGCTGGTCTTGGTCTACGAGGTTGAGGGAATTCGAACCCTTCTCCACCGGGACCGGCAGGTCTTGGTCGGCGGAGGCGGCTTGGGTATTGCCTAACGAATGCTCGGGGTCCTGATGGACTTGATCCGAGGAGTTAGGGATGGTCTCTCCAACAGGGTCAACGGGTGCCGCGCATACAGCAGCAGCACCCTCGCCCGGTGGATCCGAGGCCTCCAGATTAGCTGGACCGGCGAATGGTTCCTCAAGCTCAAGTTCTCTATCCTCATGTGTGATCACAGATGGCGGAAAGAGCGTCGGACCAGAATCAGCTTCTGAGGCTGCTCCAGCCCATTTCGAGCTATCCGAACCCGCGCCTGCGGCAGCGGCTGGTGGCCTCTGGGTGTCGAGGTATAGGTTCAGCGCGTCAGCGCCTTGCGGACCTAAATCCCTCAAGGTTGTCACCTCAACCTCTTCAGGCTCTTGGATGCCTACCCCTAACGAACCCGCGCTTGGAGCAGCGGCTTGCGAAGGCTCAACTGCTGGCTCAGGTCTTTGGTCAGGGGTGGTAACAACACTCGAATCGACCGAGCCCGCGCCAGAGGCAGCGGCTGGCGCTGTCTCTGCACGAGGGGATCTGGGTGGTGTCACTCTTGGCATGGAGTCTAGGAGAGGCGGACTATTAAAGCTCGTAGGTTGGTTAGACCTACGGCTGATAACCAATGAAAATGACAAGGACTCCGGGATATCAAGGAATAACCACCACAATCTATTGATGGGGAGGGTTACCGCAAGATATGCAATGGAGTGGATGACCCTCTGTCGGGTCGGTACACGGCGGGGGGTGTCAGAACACTTGGTACCCGTAGTGTACAGTTGGGGGGTGTGCGGACGTAAGGGAGCACGTTACGGCAACCTAACGAAATGCACGAAGCACGAATGCGACGGCACGGCGGGCGAAGCGACCGACGTGCGCGAAAGCTGAAACAAACGTGGACGCGCCTGTTTCTTGAGCCAATAGCGCGTCGGTATGACGCTGTTTGTTCACCTGTACAATCAACACATAACATGACAAGTTAGGGGTCACGTTTGTTCGTGTTTTCTTGACTTACTTACAGTACATTCATTCACCTCGAGATCATGCATTTGGACTGCGCAGGCTTGCAGAATCTGGTGGACCAAGCGGGTGCTCTTCGAGTCTCGTTGCAGTGCTGTGCGCATTTTCAGGCTTGGTGATCACTTTTCGTGGCAAGTGCTAAGAGAAACCTCATGCTTTGGTGGTCCAAAGTCGCGTTGTCATGACAGGTGCAAGGGATCGGAGCGGTTTGATGTCGATGTACAGATTTCATGGCAGGTGCGCTCTGATTTCGTGGCAGGTGCAGTGAAGCGTGACTTTTGGATATGTGGCTCCCTTTCAGAAATCGGAGGAAGTCTCGAGCGAAAGCTGCGTTTTGGCATCTTGATGTTGTCTTTGGAAAAGCTCTTGCTGCAACGTGAATCTTGATGTGCAACTTTGTGAGCCTTTAAGTGCAGATTTCGTAGCAGGCGTAGCACTTTGTGAATCTTGAAGTGCATATTTCGTGGCAGGCACAACATTTTGCCGGCCTTGACGTGTGGATTTCGTGCCAGGCGCAGCACTTTGTGGACCTTGACACGTAGATTTCATGGCAAGCGCATTACTTTGTGGACTGCTTTGCCTTAAAATGTAGATTTCATGGCAGGCGCAGCACTGTGGACCTTGAGGTGCAGTTTTCAGTGCGCTGGCAATATGCTTTTGTTGTTGTAAGAGTGCTTTGTGTGTTGCAAAAGTGCCCCAAGATGAGGCCTTTCAGTTCCATCCCACCCACCCACCTAAACTCCACTTTGGAGTTTGCTAAGGATTTTCTTGGTTGGTTGTTGTGGGTTGGCTTCCATGTTAACTTGGAAGTTTCCAAGGGAAGAAGCTTCAAATAACCGAAATAGCTCAAGCCCATCAAGTTTGATGGGGCTTGTGGTTGTAGGTGATTTTCCATGCTTAGTCAGATGCCAAGCCTGACCCCTCCCACTCAATTTTGAACTACCAGGGTTTTGCTGCGGGGGTTGTAGGTGAGTTTCTATTTTAAGGTCAAAGTTTGCAAGGGGAGAAGTTTCAAAATAGCCAAAGATGCGAAAGGAACAGCTTCCAAGGAGGAAGTTTCAAGTTTCAAGTAGAATGCATAGCGGGCTGCCCACACCCACAGAATTGTCTTTAAGAGGTTGGAAAATCATCAGGGTGGTTGAAGTTTCAATTTCCATTGGGAAGCCACTTGCGCACAAACGGAAATTCCTGAAAATGAATGATGTGGATGGAACCTGCCAAGAGAAGTTATGGAAGCTCACAGATGTAATGTTTCTGTCATCTTGCAAGGGCTTCAAATAGAAACGTCTGCCTTTCCAATTTGGAAAATTGGTGGGTGGGATAGGTTTGCTTTCTGAAATTCTTCCCTAGGAAACTTCGATCTTTACAAAAAAACACACTTACAACCAACCAGCGACATCAACCATCAGGCCTCCAAGCTGGAGTGGCTGGGTGGGATGGGCTTCTGAAACCTCCTCCTTGGAAACTTCTAAGATACACATGGAAACTACCACCAACGAGAAAAAAATATCCGAGTTGCGATCATCATGATCTGTGCGAAATCCTCGTGTGCATAAATAAAACCAACTCCGTGGATCACGTCGACCCTCCAAACCAAGACATGTTTAAACGCCAAGACCAGACATTCCGCCGAGATGTCTTTCAGCAGTGGGCGAAATTCGGACTCCTCTTCGTTCGCCCAATCTGGACCAAGGTACTCTGGGTGTCCTTGGCACTGAGGCCACCTCGCAAGAAGGTCCTGGCGGGAAGTCGCTTCCGACGAAGGAACGGAGCACGAGATCCGCGCGGATCTCCTCACGGTGGGCGGAACGAGCTTCTCGGGGCGCTCGCATCGTGCCAGCCGTGGGAGTCATGGGGGGGGACAACGGGAGGAAGTGGGTGGACTGGTCGATTTCCTCCCCAAGCTTGGGGCTCGGTCTCCCATGTCGAGCTCGGTCACCCAAATGAACACCAAGAACCAACCAGGTAGCGGACCCTCCGTTCGTATCTCCTAGCAATTTCTCGCAGATTGGGCTTCGATGTCAGGTTTCCCAGTTTCCCAGTTGGGCTGCTTGGTTTCCCAGTGGATTGGCCGGTTCGGCGTGGCGATTTGGCCCAAACCAATTTGGTTTGCCATGGTTTGCGCAAAGTCCTTTTCAAAAATGGACAAGCTTCGCTAAAAGTCATTGGCTTCGTCTACCATTCTGTGTCTTGGGACTTTTGAAAGCGGTTGCCCGATTGTGGCTTGGAGGTCAGCGGCGTCTGGGCCAGTAGGATTGCATTCATCGTTCGTGAAATATCATACTGGATGCCTTAGGTGCTGCACCTACCGTGGTCCCACCCCGGAATGCTCCTGAAATATATAGTGTTCCAATGTATATAGTGTTCCAATATGTTTCAATGATTTCAATGTACATATTAATTGAAAGTTGATGTCCCACGACTGACACCAGCGCTGCTTCCGTGGACACCTTTCATGCTTTGCAAGGACACGCTCCCACCCTCCAGGTTTAACAGGTTCTGTGTGTCTGATCGGTGAAGGTCGCACATGCTGGCCCCACCAATTGTGGAGATCTTCCCAAATGGACACCAGCCAGTGTGCCACAGCCTCAGTGGCTTGGTCGGTCTTTTTCGCTGTTGCTTCGACCGAACACATAAGGAACCGAGCGATCGACCCGCCCCAATGCGGCGGAAGCACGGGATTTGGACGCATGCGTCGCAGCACGTTCGTCCTACGAAGCACCAGGATCCGTTCGGAGAAAGCACTGGTTCGGTGGGGCTCCTCTCTCACTCCATGCGTTGGATGGACAAGGTCGACCCGGAACTGGAAGCGAGGCCTCCGTCAGTTGACGGCTGAACCATGGTTTCTCCGTTCGAACTCATGACGTTGCCGTGTGAGGTGCACATCCGTCTCTTGGTGGGCACAAATGGAGCACAAATGAAGCACTGTCTTTCAGAATGTCACCAGCCAGTAATCTCATCTGAGCCATTACCCAGGTGGCTGAAACAGTCGGTAGGTCCCGGTAGAGCTCAAGGACCACTGGAGTGGTTCCAGTACTTTGAGAATTGGCACAGGACCTGTTCTTGGTATAAGTGCTTACCTGAGCCACAGAAAAACAAAAAAACAAGAACACTTCTGCCCGGCAATTCTCTATTTGTAGGGGTGGAGCTCTCCATATTCAAAACGGCAAAAATCAACGAATCATTCGTAGGAGAGCTGCCCGGCTGCGGATGTAAAAAAACAAACCATGGCCCGATTGGTCCGCCTGCCCTGCCGAACCCCGAACCCAGCGCCAGTGCACGGAACGAACCGGACCAAGGAAGCGCCGAAAAGCTTCGATTCGATCCAAGGGGCCATGCTAAAGAGCACCTGGTGCTCCGCGGAGTAAGCGTAGAGCAGGTCCTGAGCTGACCTGGCGCCAGCGCGGGGTCAGCTAAGGCACCGCGGTTTCCGGAGGGTGAAGAGAAGCTGGGGATGAGAATTGCAATGATGCAACATATGACTCAACATATGTTTATGGCGTTTTTGGGGCAGGATCTTCAGACAAATTGTTTGTACAAGACTTGGGTGGTGGTTGTGCAAAAAAAGACCAGAATATCTCACGGTCACTACTACAGTCACTCATGGTCTTAGCCTAAAACGGCCAAACTGGGAAGACACCAAACACCAAGATCGAGGTGAGCTTGTTGGTCAGCCTCTGTGAGCCGAGTTCTTGGGCATTTGGCCGCCGAAGCCTTGCAGCGGGGCCGCCCCCCCCAAACGGCAAGCTGGGCCGCCCCAGCCAGCGACAGCCCAGCAGCAGTCTCAAGCCACCCACCACGGCGCAAGCACAGTAGACCTGACGACTCGATGACTTGGCGGTGTGCAGGGTGGGGGAGGGTGCGCCAAAGCACTGTGTAAAGGGAAGAGGTCTCACTATATATTGACATATAGACATATTATAAGAACGGATCTGAACCTTGCAGCTTCTGCCTTGGAGGGAGTTGCTCTGATCTGTCAGCCAAGGTGGGATGAGTTGCTGTCTTGTGATTTCATTTTAAAGAGGAAACTGATGAGCACCGGTGAAGGTTACCTGATCGAAAACTACTCTTCAAACCACGTAGAAACCCTATGCAAATGAGCTTTCAAATGCCATCAAAACAACCTGAATCGACCTCTGTGCTTCGGCGAACGCAGTGGCAAAGCACCGGTCGGCTGGTCCTGTTGCTAAGTTTGGACAAAAACAACTTGCAAAGTTTTTCGTGTGTGGTCAGCTGGCACACTCCCATCCGTCGATTTGGTCGCCTTCGTCACCTGTCCTGTGCCACTCCGAAACGGCTTGGCTTCGGAAGACTCATCAAAGAGTGGTTGGCTTACCAGTGCCCGTCTTCATCCATGGCGCAGAGCAATCTGGTGCAGATGGATGTGATCTCGTCATCACATCCATTCGCAAAGAGTGATCCATCTGCATCTTTGTCCGCGCAAAGAAGCAAATCTCTCCGACCGCCCAAATTCCAATCCTTCCTCTTTGCTTCCCTCCTGCCTTACACGTCTTCCAGTGCGGATCGAAATGTCCCAAGCTCACTGAGTCAGGTCACGGAATTCGCTCAGCTCCTCACCGTGCTCCAACGTCATCGCTTGCGCCGTAGCTATCCATGTGGCACTCCAATCAACTGGGACTAGAGTCCAAGCCGAACATGGATGTAGAATCTTGATTCATAAGGTTTCCCCGCATCTGGATCGCAACAAACATCTTCATATTATGCTTTTTGTGTTTTCATGAATCAAAATCCTACATTCGAGTTCGGATTCCGTCAGCCTCGCTGGCGTAGGCGCTGAACAATTCCTCTCTCTCCACTCGATCCTATTTCACAAAATGACAAAGCCTGTCAGCTCCAGTGGCGAGGTAGCGTCGCCACCTTTCACTTTAGCTAAGTAGCTGGTGCCCAACAACATGTATCCCCCTCCAAAACAGAGGGAGGTGCCAAAACCAGGAAGGGGGGACAAAACAAACACCAAACAAGATTTCCGCAGTCCTGCCTTGAATTCACTATAATATTATGTCATCAGGACAGGCTGTTAGCTCTCCGTTGCCGTGCCATGGCCCGCAACTTGTGTTTAGATGTGTCTAGCAGCTGGTCTGCAACTGCCACCTGGGAGTTCCCCTTCTCTGTTCTGGGCTCTTCTCAGACTGCAGTGAGTGTAGGAGTTATGCTGCCCAAGTTTGTTTTCTAAGCGTGTGACTGTGCATCTACCTTAACCCAGCGAACTAACCAGTGAGGTCTCTTTTCACTTTACCCTATCATCGATAGCAAGCTGCGTACCAGCAGTGCCACTCGGTCCTCCAATTCGAAATAGGGGGAATGATTTCCAACGACTTCAGCTTTGGTCGCATGAATTGAGACTCCACACCCCTTTGCTCCATGTTGCTCCTACTCTCTGGTCGTTACAGGATGCCTGCCGTAAAAAAGAGAACCACCTGTGTCTTCAGCGGCTTTTGCAGGGCTTTTTCAGTAGCCTGCCGATGCCGCCCACACTGGGTCGTGCCGCACGCCCGCACCCGCACCCGTCCCGCCAAGCTGCTTGCGAGCGGGCGAGCCGGCGACGATATCTGCGCGCGAGTCTCGGATCAATGCAGGAGCTACTGGCGATTACGGGAGGGAATCGAACATGTAGTTGCTAAGAACATGTGAGGATATCTGCGGTCTGTTATGCACACGGTGTCCTTTGTGCAAACAGCCTCAATAGCACACAAATGCCTTACAGGGTGGTTGTACAACAAACCTTGCATGTCAATCAGCCATAGTGAGGCAACAACCGTTGCCATCCTGTTGCATGGATATGACTTCCTACTTCATGTGACTGTCTGAAAAGACCCACCAATGTTCCAAGAGGTTCCAAGGCCTTCCAAGGCAACACATCGGAGGCTCAGCATTTGACCATCGGAGGCGACACATCTGATGGTCAAACATCCAGCCCCTCTCGAAGGTCTGCCCAAGATTGTCATCACATGGTGGAGGTCTTGGATTGATGCTCAAGAAGACCCTGCAATAGCTGCAATGCCTGTCATTGCCTGGGACAACTCAGTTCAGCTGGTCTTCAAAGAACATCAGTAGCGGTTACTGAGACCAGGCTGCTTGTGACCACTGAAAGGTCCCATGCACCCCAGGAAGGGCCTAAGAGCTGCGACAGGATATATGCATCATCTATCATCATATCATGGCGGTCAACAGTGCAACAGTAGAACTGCGGTTCGTGATACTTTGCAGCCGACCAATCTAGCAATCCAACCTCGCGCCCTGCCCTGGCAAAGCATACTCTTCAATCACATCTTCTTCGTAGCATACTTGTCAGCCTTCTTCAACTTGATGGGTTGGGACATCGTTGTATTCAGCGGTTAGAAGATTGGATTCAAGTGTGTGCATTGTTGCTGGATGATCAACTCTGCAGGAAGCAGGACTCTGGTGAGTAGAGCTACCTATTCCAAATAAGGTTAGCGGACTTCATTCCACACAAATCATCAAATTCCCAACGCATTTCTGCCCCGTGGCCAAACGACATACCAACCCGAACTGCCAAGTGACCACTGCAACATGCTGCGCGACTGCTTGTTGAGCTTCTAAGTGGCTTGCATTACGTGGTTGTAGCATGTCATAACGGTCATAAGTTCGATAGCAGGGTGTGAGCTCCTGAGGTTCACCTTACGAGTCTATCATTGGCTCTTGGACACCACCCGGTGTGACCGTGTGACCCCATCCACAGGACCTTGGACAGGTCCGTGCTCGCCTCTCCACAGGTGTCGGAGAACACATGAGGCCCACGACCTTGCTTCAACGCACTGCGAATGTTCGAGTTTTTGTTTGTCGGTGCGTGCGCGTGTCGTTCTTTCAGTAGCCGAACCTCTGAAGACCTGGAGATGCGATGGTTTTTGGGCTACACTCGCTCTTCAATATGAACAGAAGGGTACAAACTGGTGTCAACAAACACCCTATGATAAGCCAATAGGAGTGGTGCTGTCGCACCTCTTCGGTGACCCAATGCACTGGTTCTTCCCCGTATCCATGGTTCTTCGTCGCTCGCCCACGTCCGTTCTTCGGCGCCCGCGCCCGGCGGCGGTGCCACAAAGGCCATGCAAGGTAGCGCCTCAGGTCAGCACGGTCAGCAGGGTGAGCGATTTGCGACGCGGCGACCGTCCTGTCTAGGTGTGGCTGGAGATCCTGTTTATAGAAGAGGGAAGTCGTCCAGCCAGGACACCCATTGAATTGGATGGTGGTAGAAGTCCAGAGAAAATAATTCGGGCCCCCAAAGCCTAAATGTGGCTCTACCAGCCACTTGCCGCCGGTGTGGGATGATCAACCCAGCAAGAGGTTGCGTGGTGGGTGGAACAAAACAGGGTGGATGTTAAACCTGCGGGGGTATGTTGGATCGGTGATTCTGTTATTAAAACGAGTAGCGTTGCACCCGGACTGACCTGCTTTGCTTGGCATGCCAAGAGTTAGCTTCCATGAAGCTAGTGTAACTTAAGGCCACATTGAACCAGGTGATTCTGCATTTCTGCCATCTGCAGACAAGCTTGGTTGCCAGTTGCAGAAAGAGATCCACGCCGCCCATGCGGACGACGGTCTTTTTGACATGTCACGAGCGAGGACGAGGACTACGTTCAAGGGAGTGAAATAAACATATTCCCGGCTGGATAGACCCTTTCAAGGTTGTTACTGTGAAAGAAGAGCATCCCAAGAGAGGTTGAGAGACCATATAGTACCCTGTACTGGTACATATGGGATGGGCTATAGGTCTGCTCAACCTCTCTTGGTCAGCAACACCTGGGACTTGGGTTAAACAACATTTGCGGTACACTTTTTTTTGCATGAGCCACAATGCTGGGTCGAACGGACATGCAAGTCGCCCGCCGTTCTCTTTCACCAGCTGAGGCCAGCACACGACCACCCAAAGGATGCACCAGTAGAGCACAAGCCTTGCACCATGATTTGACATGATTTGACCTGAGTAGATAGTACAGTAGCCCATGCTTTGTGTCATGGCAAACAATACCAGGGCTGAAGACTATAAGGATCTGCTTTGTCACTTACATAGACTGGCCTCAATAGCTGGAGCGAACCTTCAACATCGTCATTTTTAACAATCATCCATCTGTCCACTCTCTGTTTGGCGCCACGTGCTATCTGGGTCAATCCACGTAAAGCAAATCCAAATCCAGTTGGGTCTGTGAACAGTTGGGTTCTTTTTTGTAGCGTAGCCGAATATCTAACAATGTTGGTAACCACCACAGCCACACCCAAAGTACAACAACCACAGCAAACACGAACACCACAACCACCCACAACGACCACGACAACGACGACCAAAAGAAAAACGACCACCACAACGACCGGACGACGACCAGCACCACAATCACGACGAACACAACCACCACCAATGACGACAACAACGAGCAGAACAAGCATAACAACACAACCTATATTCACAACATATCACAACCTAAATTCTTTATGTTTCTTTTTTGGGAACTGAAATGCCCCAAGGTTTACCAGGAAAGAGCCAAGTTAAATTCCCACAACCACCAGGACCCCGAAAAGCCTCATTCCAAAATGTCACGCACATGTGCTCCTCTAACCCCTTCATCACCTGGTTGTGTGTTCATTTGGGAGACCTCTCAGTTTGACTCCCAGGGAAGAAGGAACATAGACCAAAACCGGAGCCACATTGAAGAGGCGATTGGGATCTTCGATCATGCTGGGAGACGTACGCTGAGGCGCTAAAAACGAGAGTGATATCCTGGTTCCTGGTCTTTCGCCTCGGTACTGGGGAAGGAAGCCCAATACCAAGGGGTAAGATCTCCCAAAGATTGTACATATCAGTCGAAACCGCCAAATCCTGGGTCTTTCGCCCACCGCGTTGTCCCATGTGCATGCCTTGTTGTCTCCTCTGTGTGGTACAAGCTTCCATCGGCCAATGGCCTCAGGCAACTCAGTCAAAAACTATATGTCAAGGCGGTTTTGACGTGGATTTGCCAAGTTTTTGAACAAAAAGGCTTGACCTTTTCTATGCAGCATTCTATCGACGTGTCAGAGTTGGAACCGCCTAAAAGCGTTGAGGCAATCGATCCTTGCTCACATACTTGCTTTGTGACATAGTTATGCTCATCAGGGTTTTGAGTGATGTCGACTCCAGTGAAGGTGAATTGGCGTACTTTCTTGCTTCCAAAAGAGAACTTTGCTTCTAGCTTGGCAACTTGTTGTTCAAAGAACTCATCTCCCCACACAGTCCATCGTCTACATGAACTTATGCACATGGGTCGAACGGAGCATGAATGAAATGGAGGTCTTTAAGGTTCGGTCAAGTTCCTTGCGCCTTGGATAGGGAGCATCTATGAGCCCGATAGGCTGATTTCTCCAGTCTGCATACCTCCCCGGGTTTTAGTTGCATTGCCTGTCGAAGTTCCTCAACGGGTTCGATGGCCAACACACGTCCTTCCTGGGTGCTGCCTTGTAGAAAGGCTGCTCGAATGTCGAAACTCTTGAGAATCCAGCCCATGGACCGGTATGATCCGGTATGCGTATAGCCACATGATCCGGTATGCTCTGCCCAACCAACCCCATGAACGCCAGGCCCCTCGCATAAAGCCATAAAGCCACAAGACCAAGACTGGACCCTGCAAACATGAACCAATCAAGTTCCAATTCATGTCGGGCTGGGGAAGAATTTGATGTATGTCGCCTCATTATGAACCTAGTCCCCACCAACAGCACTTGCAGGAAATCTGGTCGGAGATACCTCTACCTTACCTACGGTGATAGGACTGTCAGCCATCGTCCTTGAAGACAGCCAAGTGTTGACATCGTCGGAGGACGTCAGGTGCTTCTTTTATTTATTCAGGATGCCTGACTCGTCAGGTGGCCCTACGTGGCGAAATCGCCAAGGAAGTCCCAGAGGATGGGTTGCCAGCAGGGTACACAGGTAAGGGATGGCACCTCCATGCAAGGGTGCTCCCAATGGGCTTCCTCAACTTGGTTGCTATAGCCCAGCACGTGTGCTATGTAGTGGTTCACCAAGCGTTGTGTGGCTTTCGCGCGCCCTGGGATCAAGCCATCAAGAAATCCGACGAGACCGACCTCACAGTCGAGCAGCAAGGTTGTTTCGAGTATACCTTGATAACTTTGATGAGCTGCGAAAAGGTGACAAGACTTTGGCAGGATGATTGAAGGGACCCCATCTTCTTGGAGTTTAGCCGTTTAGCCGTGCGAGAAACATATGCTAAATTGGGACTCCCACGTCACCCAAAAAAGGGAGGTGAACAGCAGTTGCAAGCGGAGCTCCAGGGCGCCTGGGTGGATGGAAAACAAGGTGTGGCGTCTCCCAAGGCTGAGAAGGTGGTGAGGTACCTGAGGCTGGCTTGTGAGGCATTCCTTCAGGGTCTTGGAACCCTGAGACAACAAGCCTGGCCTTTGCCTTATGTGTGGATGCAGTGGGTCTCTGGATTGGTGAGGGCTGTCATCCCACTGTCCAGAGGCTTCCACGCACAGATCCACCGTATCTGATCTGGGCTGAGTTGGTGCCGAAGCACTCGGCTTGCGGTACCAGTGCTGAGCCAGTTGGCCACTTCTTTTTCTTTGGCCGCCTTGAACAGGCCCTGCTCTTCAGCTGTGAGCTGATGATATTCTCGTCGGTGCGATCTTTCTTTGCATTGGTGGCTAAAAGAACAAAGAAAGTATTCACTGGTTTCGTCCTGTTTCCCATAATTTTCGACTGTTTGCTGAGAATTGTGTGCTTCATGTGGTTCATCATCTACACACAACAAATGATCACACAGAAGTTCATCATCGGCTTCGCTGGGGATCGGGATTTCAGCGGCATCTGGCTCTGCCTGGCTACCTGGTGCAGCCTCAGGTGGATTCGAGTTTTGGTCTTCGATTATTGGTTCCTGATCAGGTTGTTCCTCGGAAACATTGGATGGTGGGTGCGGATTCCTTTGGTTCTCTGGCATTTGAATCTCTGTTTCTTCAGGGGCTATGCTATTCCGGGTCTCCGTTGATGGTGGTGGTGTGGTACGCGTTTCGGTTGGAATGTCATCAAAAAAACATGTTTGCCCAATGTGGGCTGCTGCAAGGTCAGTAGTTGACTCGAACCGATGTCAGCCATGCCTTAAGATCCCAAAGCCTGGAAACGATACAAACCTCAAGTTGTCATTGTTAAAGGCAGGATTGGCAGCAATGGCCACGGACTCTGAGACACATGGCAACTCGTCCGGAAACCCACGAAGAACATGCTGAGAAACAAGGCAATTCACTTGGAAGCAGGAACGAAAAGTGTTTTGGTGCTTGCAATTCTTGTCGCATTTTTCTAAGATGTGATTTCAAAGTCGCATTTTTCGATTGTCTTAAAATGTGGTTTCGAATTTGTAAGTTTTCCACGTTTTGAAGAGTCTTTCGCATTTTTCACACATGTTACAGTATACGTTTTTGCCTTTTTTGCTCAGTATTTTACATTGTTGGGTCGCATTTTTGACCACGGTGTTTTGCAATTTTTCGAATGCAGTTCACGTTTCACGGTTTGCAACGTGGAGAATCGCAGCGCTGCTACGGCGACTCTGCCCGATTTATCGGCGCAGCACTGCTTTCAGGGTTGAGGTTAGGGTTGCCCTGCTGCGAGTTTGCTTGGGGCAGGACTGCAAGTTTGCGCTTTTATTGCTGCTGCTGATGTGATCGTCCGACATATTGATTAGCCCGATGTCTTTGCGAAAAGTGCAAGCTCAAAGCAGGCATCGGGCACCACAGCCACCAGCGAACAGCCGTTGTCAGAACTGGTGCTTTTTCTGCTGGTGGCCCCGCCCCGGACTTGTGAAAGATGGCACCTGACATGAGGTCGTGTAGGAAGTAGCCCTGCTGGACTGCCGTATAACTGGCCTAGGGCCTAGAGGGCCGATACACATCTATACAACGCAGCAGTGCACAATGAAAGTCAGTGGCGGTGATGATGAGCTATCTGCACAAGCGCGCAATTGAAGCCATGCGCAGACATCGGCATTCTTCATTTCCACTGCGTCAAATGCCATCGCTTATTGCAGCGTTTGTCGGCGTCGTGTGCCAACATTTCGTCTCGCTAACATGGATTGGTAACCATCCTGCAGCAACCGCGCGAATGCCTTTAGTTGGCCGGTCAATCTTGTCCGTGGAAACGGGATATTTCTTAATGAAGAGGTGGAACACATCCATGTCAAAGTGACCGTCGGTTTCCTGTCGCTTCTGGAGAGTGCCAAGTCAAGAAAAACCACTGCCTCTACAAGACTGGCAGCGAAGGAATGCCCTACACCCTTCTTGCCACAGTCAACAGCAGCATTCTCCAGCAGCCTGCGAACCAGTTGCCTGCGAGCCAACATTGCCAAGTATGAAACCCTACTGCAGATTCGCACGTTGTACTCTCAAAAAGAGCTCTGGTTTGCAGCCAGAGCATTTTTCGCCAAAAATACATTTTTCAAAAAGGGTGAAGTGTAATTGGTTAGATTTTTCTGGGTGGTAGGTTTTGCATTTACAATTTAAGGTCGAATTCTTCACACCTTTTTCATACCTTTCATTGTGCGACGACACTACACCTTTTTCACAGGGTGGCCCGAAAGCATAGCAGGAGGTGACGGCAGGTATCGAGGAGGATGAGGGTTATATATCGATGATGATGTTGATGACGACGATGATGATCGTGGTGATGCTAGTGATGATGTGATCACAATGGTGCCAATGCCAAGCCTCGTGGACACCACCTCTAACCGTGGCGACCAGAGTGGAGCGGCAGCTACAGCACAGCCTCTAAGAGCCATGGAGTCCAAATCGGCGATGGGCCCAAGCTTTAATAAATCTAACTGTTCCGCTTGCGTGACCGGTTGGTCACAAAATACATCCATTATCATATATGATCTACTTTCATTGTCGAAATGCTGATCGAGAGGAGCACGCACCACAAATGAAAGACCGTTCATACCTGTCAGGTGAGCTAACCCTGGAGTTGAGTTGCTGCAATCAAGTTTGGGGTGGACAATAGTCTGGCAGCTTGCTTCTTCTCTATGTGCCGCAATACATTCCCAACGTGTTCTGCAAACATTTCCAAAGTCATCAATTTCATTTTGGATCGATGAAATACGCGCAAGCAATGCCAAATGTCTCGCTGACGTACCAGGGAATGTAATGTAATAATGACAAACGATGTGGCAAATCCCTTTGGTCTGCCATGAGCCAAAAGAAGGCCTCGCCTCTTTGACCTACCCCAAATTGTGCGGCTTGATGTTAATTAAGCCCATATCCCTACATCAACAACCACGCATTGGACCAGCGAACTGGAAGAACCGGGGGGGGCACTACTTTCACATTGATCTGATAGGCAGCCCATTCTCCACTGCCCAGTTCTCTCCGAAAGTCGTTTGGCTCGGATACTCGAACATCGTGTGACATATCATTTAGAGAAAAAGCCTACAAACAGTTGACTACCAATGGAAAATAGGAGCCAAATGATGGTGACAGTAAGTACGTTCGGCGGGCTGGTGGCTATGCAGCCACACACTGAATGTACTTACTAAAAATATCAGGATTCCTGCCCTAGGGATCGATATACCTTCTCAGAAGGTACTTGGTCCCTCCAAGCCTACATAAATAGTCTCCCATCACCTTCTGAGAAGGTATCTGGATCCATAGGGCTGTTTTCATAATGCAACTCCTCTGACTCTGACCCACCAACTCTGCTGAAGCACGCCACAATGGCATCCCCCATGGAGCTCAATCCACGGACATGAAAGATCGTCCTACGGGTTGTCTGCGAAAAGTACTTCCTCGATGCTGGTGATACTGGTCAATGGCTCTGCCTGGCTGCTGGGAGTATAAGGAGAAACTGAACTGTTGATTCCAACTGTGTGGCCATTCTTTAGTGGATAGATAAGTCTGCCGTTGTAAGAGGGCTTAGATTGCAAGGGGCATGTTGAATGCAGCATGTCGAGTGTTGAATTCATGTCAAGGACTTCTGGACATGGCGGACTCTTCTGGCTCTTCTCTCCTTGGACTCCATGTTTTCATGTACAGCTGCGGCAGAAGAAGTGAGGCTTCAGAACTGACGAATCCAGTGCACCCCGCCCTAACAATCTGATCTCTTTGTAGTTAGTGTTAAAAAAACATCCAACAAAGGTTGAAGAACTCAACAAAGGCGCTGGAGGCTATCCGTACCCCACATTATGGGTCCTATTTATGGTCACTTAACTTCTCTTGGATCGTGTGGTTGGACCCGATGTTCTAGAGTAGCCATGGACCACATGGACCCGCTTGCAGGAAGGATTCGCTAACCTTAACCTTCAGTCAGGCAACCAACCAGGTACTGTAACGCTAACCCTGCTCTTTTAGACCGGTCAATCCGGGGGGAAATGTGATGTTGGTCCAATTGCAAAGGGTGAGCCCTTGACACGCAAAGGATGAGCCCTTCACCCAGAAAATCGGGAAGCAAGCTTTTGTTAACCCCCGACAAAAAGACTGCTCAGAGTGTATTAGTTACCAGTTTAGCAGGTGAGCTACAAACACTCGTTGGCCTGTAAAACAATAACAACCTCCATCCTAAACGCCGATGAGAACCTCCGATCAAACAAACCGGCCGTAAGAACCTACCAACTTGAACCCCTAGTGTTACCACACTGTTTGGGGGAAAAACCTGGGGAAAAACACCTTCATGCCCTGCTTTTCTTCGGAGCCTGCTCTCATTACCTTCACCCTGCCCTTGCGGAAGAAGGGGGCCGCTTAAAATGGATTCAACGGGTCTGAATCCATTGGGATTGACGATAGGGCCACCGACACAGGTCCGTGTTGGAAATTCGTCCCTTTCCTACACTCCCTTGGTAGCATCGTCAAAGTGGATGGCATGGCCCCTTGAATGATCCCTTTCCTCTACAAACAGGTGGTCTTGCAATGATTATGTCATTTCCGGAAGTGTAATAACTGGGTGTTCCGGCGAACGAGTGGTGATTTCTCCGAAGAACGACGGAGAGGATTCAGTGGATTCAGTCATCGGAGTCGAAGCAAAGCCTGTGAGGGGTACAGTGCATTGATCCCTGATGCATGCGCTGAACCCGAAGCCGAATCTGTGCCAATCCAACTCCAAGACCATTGTGACCAAACCAAAAGGCAAACGAGGCACATCACCACTATTGATCAAGACAAACGTTCCAAATTTTGTTGACTGGATTCATGCAAAAACCCACTTATGTAAAGTCGATCTTGATTAACACCCCTCGTATGAAAAGATCATGTCCACTTCAAACGGAGTTTATGGATCAAGAGTCTACATTTTACCGGCTCCCCAATGACGCGCACGCGACGACCCGCCACCCGCGACCCCGGTGCGACGCGGGTACGCCACCCGGAGACCTGGAGGTCTGGTAGGGCACGCCACACTGCGTACAGCACAGCTCCGCACGGAGCCGCAGCGTTGTCACCGAGGCCTCGGAGGCCGTGGGCGGCCATGGCAGGGTTGTTCCAGGTGGATGTCCTTGGGGGATGGTTTCGCTTGGACACCTTTTTATGGGGGCTTCACATGTGGTGAACCCGTAAGCCGGGACCCACGAAGGAAACACCAGTTTGCTTCGAAGGGGTCGTTCGCTGATCCACAAACATCTGAACGACCAGACCGTTCACTGTGGTGTTCCCAGACCGTTCACTCAATAGCACAGATCCTATCAACATATAGTGCTTTCAGAGCAGGCACCATCCCCCATGTTCGGTGGTTTAGTAGTGGACCCCCATCTGAATCTGGACACCTTGGGGTCTGTGCTATCGAAGCTGTGAAACCACTAGAGGGAACATGGATAGAGGGAACATGGACGAACATGGACATGTTTCAGGGCTGAACCCGTGAGCTGGAGACAGCAAGTTGGGTTGACCCGTTGGGGAGAACGTCTGTTCTAACCATCTTCAACTATTCTACGTTCCACCATGCATCAATCGTTCTTACCATGTTCAGTTCTATTGGACAACCCATTGAAAGCCTCCCTCTTTCTTATATATGCTTTGGAGCGGTCATGAGCGTCCACCGGCTGTTCCATCCACGAAAATGACGACCCTCCATGCGTTCGTCCGCTCGTTCCGTTCCCGCGCCTGTGTCTCTGTGTCCCCTGCGAGGAAACCGCATGTCCGACATCGGAAGACCGACGATGTCCGTGTCCGCCGACGTGGGGTGTCCGCGTGGAGGAGTATGTGGGGGGAGTCGTGAAGTGGCAATGAGTCTGTCCACCCCCAAGTCCTGGTGGGTTGACATCCTGAAGACAGAGGAATCTGTATCTGTTCATCGGTCCGGCGGTCAGCCAGGATTAAGGGTCCAACTTCGGAAACCGATTGAGCAAAGGTAAGGTGGACCTCGGGGTATTTATCTATTGTCGATGGTCAACCCGGTTTTTTGGAGCTACACTCCAAGAATTGGAAAGCACATTTCTACCGGAAACCCCCATGGTGGCCACCGGTGGCCACCGGTGAAAACCCCTTGTTTCCTGATCCTACCATGATACACCCTTTCCGTCGGCTCTGAAGGTGTTGGCCTACCAGACTGAGAGACCGGGGCACAACCCAGTACCACATGGATTTCGTGGACTGATGCGACAGTGGTCCCTGGCTTTTACCAACTTAACATGAATAGGATCGAGGACCATGTCTGTGGCCAACCTACCAGTTTGCATTTCTTTCCCCCGGTCCTGCAGATTTTGACCCACTGCCATAGAAATTGAAATACTCCCTGAACTGATTGTAGAAGTGAAGCTCAACACCTAGCTATGGTCTTCGGACGTCTTAGCCATCCTTTCGGGACAATGCCATCCACTTGCACATCAGGACACGTCAGAGTGTACATTCCATTTTCATTTTGACCACACCTACAGTATCTATATCAATACACCTTCCATTTCATGATAGCCATGGATGCACTCATTGAGATGGCGATGGTAAACGTCGTATTCCACGTCAATTCGGATCGATCCACTCTTATTGTTAAATAGTTCTTCTCTAATCCTCATCCATCATCACCTATTGTGGTAGATGCGACCCTAGCGTCGCCAGCGTCCTCTTGCGTTCTTCTTTTCCTCACGCGCGGCCGGAGGCCAGCTTCAGGAACATGGACCCCGGTGGCAAATACCTGAGACACCGAAGCCCGAAGATGGCCAGGTGACACGCACAGCAAACGCTCTTCCTCCCCAAAGTACGTGGGATGTCCACTTGAGAAAGCACGACATTCTTTCTGGTTCAAGGGCTCCCTCTGTTCGTGAGACTGAGTGGTCAACTACCTCACATGTTCCTGGTAAATTTCCGGGACGTTGGGGCGACTGAGTGCCCTTCGGCTTCAAGCCAAGGGACCCCCCCAACAAAAACAAGACAAACATCACGACCAACCGGGCAACTTGGAATTCCAAGACCTGCGGGCCAGAGTTCCATCCTGGCACACAAAAGGCATCCCCAACACCACGTGGCCCAAGTGGTGAGACTTTGGGGTCTCTTTCGTGACCACGGTGATCAAATCTGAAAAAGATCACGAGAACATCCAACGACCTTGATTCAACAGGGGACCTGCCAGTTCACCTCCCTGGCACCGTCGTCTAAAGCCTCGCCCAGGGGCGACTCGTTCTCCAAATCACGGATCCGCAGAAAGAGTTGCCTCGACGAAACCCGGCCGCGCGAGAGAACGCGCCGCGCGCCGCGCGACGTATATACACGACGCCCGCGCCCGCAGGAGAAAACTGCGCGCCAACACGCCCTCGTGCAACTCAACGCCTCCATGAATCTCGTGTGAAAAAGGGGATGAAACGAGGCACAGCCGGGCACCGTCTCTTTTGGACATAGTGGAAGTCCTGGAAAAGGTTCATGCAATACATTGAATATGTGTATTAATATATAGGGAGACCTCTCGGCCAAAATCCATTGGTTGGGTGTCTCCTTATAAAAATACATGCACTCATACTCATACTCATACATACCCTTTTGCAGGGATTCCAGGGACTATTCCAAAGCACCCAAAGGATGAAGGTGTGAGAATGCTGGAGGCACAAACAGATCAAAGATGGAGAAGCCGCACTGGCCAGAGTCCCATTGGTCCCGTCTCTGCGTAGCAACTTTCAGCATCCCGTCGACCGAAACAGCAAAACCACCCTGTTGCAAATCCTCGGGCAAGGGATCATAAAGATTGCTAGACTTAGGGAAGACCTTGCAGATTTTTGCACCTGAAGTCGCCATCTCGCGGGCTCTGGCCATTTTGTGAGATTCATCCTGGATTCGCCATGGCAACGACATGCAACCCACCGATCTGGCACGGGACCTCCATGGGTGAAGAAAATCCCCCAGCGAGTGAGGCGGGCGATGTTCCGCTAGGTCCACGCATGAGGAACACCCGCAGCCTTCAAAAACCATGAAACAGTTATGTTGCCTTCTGTAAAACAATATTTGCTTGGTAAAGTCAATTAAATCAGTTAGTATAATCGACCAAAGTGCCTGAGAGAGCGTCAATGACGCAAAGTCAGCCACGCAAGTCTCATCTCAGTTTGGCAAACACCTATTGTAGTTTGTCCCTTCCTCAAAGGTTGGGCAGGGCAAAGGGGCAAAGCAACCGATATTTCGATGCTGACCCAGCAAAGTCCAGCAAGTAGAGCGAGGATGCAAACAATATTCACAACATGTTTCTGTCAGTATCATGTTGAGATAGAAGCTGGAATAATGCTCTTTAATGCTCTCTACCCGTCGTTCTGGAATGCCACAAGTCCACCAAACAATACATTTTGATGCGAGCACACTGAGCACACCACCCAATGCTCGCTCCTGGCGGCCCAGCGACAGTTGTGCGTTCTCCGCGCGCGTCGGCAGCTCATCGTCCTCGCCGAACAGCACGTGCCAGTAGACCTGCCCCGGCACTGGCAGCGCTCGACTGGGACAAACGGGATCCGAACGGGATCCGAACGGCCAGGGGCGACTGAGAGATATAGCATGTACCGCGGTACTTTTCATCCCGTATATATTTGGTCGCTGTGGGGGTTGATCAGCCATACCCTTGAAGATTCTTCTTTTCCAAAGCCATGCAAACATGCCTCGCGTCCATGCCTCGAACATCAAGCAGAGCGTCGAATGGCCAGGAATGTCGTGGCAAACTTCGGGAGAGTCGCTGAAGAGCATCCGTTCCATCCGTTGATACCTGCTGCCGTGAGCGTGACACGCCCGGCCGGATGGTGTGCCTTGGCAATCAGAAAACCTGAGTAAGTCAATTACCCAGGCTTCTCAAGTTGACATGGAAACGGTTTCCAATACATTTTCAGTGGGGATCTACTTTTCTGTCTATTTGAGGGTATGAATGGGTCTATATATACAAGTAGATTTTGTCGATATTCGATGTCTTAAACTTTATATTCATCCAATCCCAACAGGCATGGCATGGCCCCCTTTTCAAATGACCCTTGGTCCTCAGAACACCCGTTTTGAATGAATTCTAAAGCAAAAACACTGTCTGTGTCGTCCAAAGCAGCTCTTGCTTTTGGAGTTTGGCGCGACAATCATGTGAAATCCCCACGGTGGTTTCAGAGTAGATGGCACACTCCCCATGATGTCCTTTAAAGTGCGGGGTCCACTGCTAAACCACCGACAGACAGGGGTCTGTGCCATCTTCTCTCAACCCACCGCAACCCACATTCTTAACGAAAAACTTCACACCAGGAGTTCCAACGGGTGGATCTCGTAGATCCCAAGTGATCTCGGATCATTTGGCAGCACCACTTGGCACTAAGAGTGGCAACGTGGTGATCAATAGGCATAGCTACCCTTGGTAACTCGTTACACGTCTTTTTGTTTATTTTTACATGGTGAAGCACGGACATCCGAACCCCATTTTTGGATGAAGCCATGAATCGTTGGCGAAGCCTTTGAGGATTCCCACGGGCCTGCCGGGCGTGTCACCCGACAGGCGTTTTGCCCTCACAAAATCTGCAGAGCCAGTGACAAAGCAAGAAAACTAATTATACTATGACTATATCCTCCATAAAGGGATAAACTATGATAAACTAATGAAAAAACCACATTCCATGCTTCTAAGAACCCTCCCTCCCCTCCATCCGCGCGGACAAATCCATCCAACCGTGGTTGTTTGCACGTCCTCAACGCACCTCTCCAAAGGGTTCTGGCGGATCCTGGACTTCGAGACCGCGAACTGCGCGCAGCAGTAGGAGCCCAGCGTCCTGCAGTGCGGTCCACTGGGTGGGTCGACGCAGCTCCGGTCGCACGGGCCGTTTGAGCTGTGTGGATTGAGGAAACGGGGCCCGGGGGACGAACGGACTTCCGTTTGGACTCCTTTCATCTCTTTCGGTTTGGTCGTCATAATCCACTACTGCCATAGGGGTATGAGTCATGACTGGACTCCCAGGTATCTACTGCCCTGTATTTCGGGGGAGGCTGGAGTGGGAAAGGCTTCCAATCTAGTGGGTGAATGCAAAAATGGGACATGACTTCAAGCTGGCAAACACCTGTCCCCCAAATGTTTTAAACTATTCAAAGCTGAGACTCCAAACACATTTCATTTGAGCAGATGTGAATCAACGATCCTCAAAGTTGACTCCACAAAGCAAAGCACCCGGGGTGGGGTGGGATCTTGGTACCCTCCGGGCCTGGCGGGCGGTCGATCGAAGAGTTGCTGGAAGACATCCGCACGGCAGGGAGACAAAGAAGTGATGAGGCGAGGATAGTTCAAGTGGACGAAGGGCGACCTGGGCACCGTCCACTTGACGCACATCACACAGCAGTTACTACACCATGTTATATCATTCCTCACTGCCAACGAGTCAAGCGATGGCAAGCCGGGCATAGCGTGTGGCGATACTACGACCAGTTATACTTGACGTCTGTTGAATCTTCGGGGCTTGATGGTTCTTCGCAAAAGTATCGATCCTTATTCATCCGGTGAGACGTTTCCGGTGTAGGTGAGTGCCTCTGGGAGGACAAAGCCTTTCTGCAACTTGAGGCAGTGATCCACTGCGGTCTACGTGTCTGGGGTCCACAGATGGTGCACAGCACCCCAGGTCCAAGCTTTTGCTTCGCACCCACTGGACGGTGTAACTGGAGGTTCTCAGTTCAACATTTCGTACCTCAGCAGGTGGTCAAACAATGTCAAACACCTCGAGCATGGAAAATCAAGACCCGGAAAGCTATGGTGAATGAGAGATTGAGCGGGGTGCTCCCATCTTACGACAAAGCCATGTCTCAGACGGCTACCAAAAACAAAGTCCACCAGGTTCTCATCCACCCAACATCCAGTGGATTTTGGATCGGAAACACACCGTCTTTCTTTTCTACCATCGCACCAGTGTGCGTGCCATCGTACCAATCCCTTCGACACACGTCGACACACATGTACCAAGCACCAATCCCTGAAAACTGAACCAAATGGCTTGGGTCTATCCTATTAATTGCCAGCAACAGTGGATGATGATGGTTAATGGCCTGCTTCAAACCTCGTGAGACTTCTGACGGCTACCACCGGGTCGACCCAGACAGATCGGGTCCACCACCACCCAAATTCACTCCGAAGCACCGGCTGCTCCGGTCCCGTCTCCAAGGGACGTCAAGCTGTGTTGATCCATCGACTTGATCACCTCAACGCCGCGCGCTTTTGGCGATCAGAAGGACACGGCGCCCGGATATATACGCGGTACTTCTGGGAGCCAGGCATCGAACCAGAAGAAGACACGGCGCGATGGAAAGTCCAAAGGAAAAACCCTTTCTTTTTGGCCCTTTTTGGCCCCGACCTGCAGACCATGCATGTAGATGTAGATGTCTCACCGTTCTAGTTAGACCAGGGACTACCATATGAGGTACGGTCGATGACTCCCAGACTGGGGTTTTTTGGACGAGTCCAAGTTGTGGTCAACGTCTATTACGTGCGGATGTTTGTATCGTCCAATTTGTGAACCCCCTGTCCTTTCCCAATGTTTTGTGAGTCCCCTATCGTTTGCCAGGGTTTAGAGCATGCCAGCATATGAATGACAATTCCATTCTGCATTGTAGCCCCGATTCCATTCTCGACCCACTAACATCTGGCTGAAGCGTACACTCATAGACTGATAGACACATGAAATGACACATGTCATTCATTGTTTCGAAGATTCAGGTGTCAAAGTGAAAGGTGGCTTATTGCCAAATGAAACTATTGCTAGACAGAACTCCGGTTCAAGCCACCCCTTCAACTGTTCATGCTGAAAGGGAAAGCACCAGGCACTGCACATGTTGGTGCTGGTGCATTTCGGAAATCCTCGGTCCTCGCGTTTTCCTTCAAGCGAATGCCTGATATCTGCATCGATGGTACCGAGTGGCCAGCGACAAGTAACCCCAGTGCATGTGATCAGCAGCATCCGCCTGAAAGAAAAGGGTGTAGTCTGCAGGCTCCTGGACGAGAGATCTGCAACAATCGGTCAACGTCCAAAGCTGTTCTGTTGACATGGCATGGACAGTAGTGGATGGAGAGAACGTCTTTCTTTTCGGGCATGTGGGGTAGTGCAACACCTTCTATCAACAACACTTGACATGTTTTTCGACGTTCACAGTAGTGGAAGACTTCCCGGTTTTGCGAACGAATCCCAGCACGATCGGAGGAGATGGACTGAGTCGATCGTTAACTCCTCATGGTTTTTTGAGCCGATACTAGTAATATCTTTCCTACAAGTGTTCTTGCCAGATCTCCAAGTTTGGAGATACATCCAAATCTCTTGCAGCATGAATATCAACAAGTAGATCAAACATCTGTGGTGAACTCACAGTGGTAACTCACCCTTGCAGTGTCCGTAGACAAGAAAGGTAAACACACTATGACCATCTATGTCTATCACCAAAAACTCATCGAAATTAAAGCTAAATGAAAAATCCATTTCAGCAATAAGAAGGAACAAAAGAAACACACACCCAACATAGAGACCCACCACACAAACATGAAAGGCAAAAGGGTCTGTTTTCGGGACAAAAAAACGACCATCAAACGACCATCAAGTGGTTCTTTCGAAAGAAAAGCAACTTCTCTAGGGTTCATTGAGTCCATTGAGGCCAACAAACCCACTCTGACGAACACCGAACACATGGTTCCGTGGGTTCTCCCCCCGGGTTGCTCAAGGAAAGAAGTCTTCCAAAGGACCATCACATCCACGTAAGCATCATGTGATGTGTTCGTCAGAGTGCAATAGTTAGAATATCTATTTTGGTTCCAACCGTTTCTGCCATCTGAACACCTCCTCTAGGTGTTCTCTTCAGTTTTTCAACACTCTTAAACACTTGTTTTCTATGTTCGCATGTGTTCCTATTCTTGGGCTGTTGGTCCAAGCTACAGACAAAAAGTAATGTTTCTGGAACTCGAGGAAGCAGGACAAAAGAACAACTAGAAAAAAATATAGTGAACGATGGAAATAAGTAGTAAACAAATAGACAGAAAAGGCCACTGCAAGAAGACATCGGGATAGAATATGATAGAATCAGAGTATCAGATAGACTAGAGGAAGTTTATTGAACAGGAAAGCACCCCAAACCAGTCTGAAGCCTGGGGTTTGATCCTTGTCCAACTCGAGAGAAGGAACCTTTTAGACATGCATAACTTACATAACAACAACAAACAACAGACTGTGCACATATTTTTCTTGTAAGACCAGTGATTCACCCGGCATCCTGTTCCATTGAGGGTGGTCCAGCCGTCCCATCGAACATACCAACACAGGTGGAACGTGACCGTAAGGATAGGACCCGTCATCTGGGGTACCTTTTTGGATAGTCTAGTTCGGGTTCTTGAACCACTGCTGGTATTTCGATGGACACCACCAATTGGCACCACATCCGAATGAACAGGAAGTGGGAGGGCCCCTCTTGTGATTACAGGCCTTGCAGGTCCAGGAAGGTGAGTTGAACAGTTTTTCAATCAACCCGTCTTTTCTGGGAGGGCTCTCGGAAGGCCTCATCTCTTTTGGGTGCCAACAGAGCGCCCGAGCGAGACCTCCGAAGTTGGAGCGGCGAAGTTGGAGCGCTTGGTCACCACCCTTAAGTGTGTTCTCCTCATAATGGTGGATCAAGTGCCGCAAGTAGCCCGAGCATTCATCACGGCGCATGCCCTTCGGATGGACACCGACCCGTTTCGGAAACGGTGGGTCGTTGGGCGCGAACAACGGGGCCGCTTCGGGCGCGGTTGGAGCTGGTTGGAGCGGCACTCTCTTTGCCCATGCGCCCTCGGTCGAAGGAAGCAGACTGCCCTGGGCAGTGTTTGAAGTGTTTGAAGGAACGGACTCCAAACATGAGTCAGAACAAACCTTGGACGAAGAGACTTTGGGCCTTTAGAACAAACGTGGGCCTCTTAGTCCAATCTGTTTGGGCTATCGAAAGACCAAAGGGGTGGGCACGATGTTTAAAAAACTCTGTTACAGACTTCATGGTGTTTTCTTTTTTGCGGTGGAACTGTGGATCTACCTGGATTTCTGTGATCCGCATAAGGTGTGTCTTCTGGCAAACTAGTTAAGGTCCATCAAATCTACATATTTGGGTGTGTATGAAGATAGGGACACCTCCCAGTTCGACTCCCTGGGGGTCTCCTATGGCCTCCTATTTCAATACACACCCTTCTCTACGCATCGTTTCCATCCACCTGCAAGTGAGCAACCCAAAACAAAGCAATCTCAAACTGTGGAAAAAAAAGACACTGTCCATCCGTGAGATCTGACCGCCCACTATGCAAGACTTGTAAAACCTTAGGACGTCTGGATGGATTCAGCATGATCCAACTATACCTTCTCGAAGAAATTCCTTGCACCTTTGAATCAAGGCACCTCTTCTCACATTTCTCACCAGTCACCTCGCTCCCACAATCCCACCCTTGCACCCCTCAACAGGCCCCCATCCACCACATCTTTTACAAGTCAAACATGTCAAACCTGAGTCACCCTTCGGGCAGATGGGTCCCCCATCCACCCTATTTCCAGTGTGGCCTACCTGTGTCGTCCATCTCTCCATCTCTCCCCCAGTCTCCGCCTGGTCGTCCACGTCGATCTGGTGCACCGAGCGGAAGGTCTTCGAGAAGCCGGAGACGTCGGTGTCGAAGCGACACTTCTCATAGACGAAGACCTCGGACCGACGGGCGACCAGAGCAGATCGGTCTTCGTCGCGGTCAATCGAAGCGACGGGTCGGACCGGGAGGTTCGGATCTCCCCCCCCAAAAAAGAGGAGGGGGTGGGTTCGGACCGTTTCGAGGTCACTTGGAAAATAGGTCTGGTGAATTGGCCCACAGAGGTTGCAACTTTTTGTGCTCATCAACATGTTCCGAACATGTTCACGGGTGCGTTGAATTCAGCCAGATTTCGAGAAACGGGATGGTCAAAATGGACCGCTGCTCAAGGCAAGAACCATTCGCACACCCAATGGTTTTCCGGAGAGTGTTGAATTACCCTGGAGTTTGGGGGTCAACCCCCGGCCATGTTGTGAGGAGTGTATGTAGAAGCTTTACTCATAATGTCTAAACAGCATCTCTTTCTGGTAGATTCTCAAAAGACTTTAAGGCCCTGCTCGGTCTGAAGTTGAACGGACAAACTGCGTGCACTGGATTTAAGTGCACGGAAGAGGTCTGAAGTTGAACAGGTCCTCTTTGTGAATTAAGGGGATCCTGGGGCCCACTTGGTTTTTGTCTAGTATTTCCACCAGGATATGGATCTTCAACTGACTCGTCCAAGAATCTTACGATGTCACAGAATGCCGCAAAGACTCTCAACATGCTTTAAGGAAGCTTTTCTGTTAAATCTAATCTTAAGAAAGCACAAGGAACTTGCAGCTGAGCAGAACTGAGGATATTCGGAACTCATTCAAATTTGAAACACCAGTGCCAAATGGCGCTACTAGTAGCATCTACCCCTGCACAAATGAACCTTTGTTTTTCCTTTTGCGATTGCCTTTTGCGGTTCGCCGGTCAAATGAACATGAACAACCAGGCAGGTCAAGCTCGCTACAAGAGCGAAGAATATAGATTTCCAGGTGCTAATGACCTGCAGCCATATGGGTTTTAAATTCTTAACCAAAAAGCACGTTGGGTGGGCACCTGGCATACTTCGGCACCCACACCACATTCATCATGAGCTCACAAGAAAGTTTTGCACAAAGGGTCCACACTATAACGGCCATAAGGACGAATAAGCAAAGGCAGGTAAAGAGTGCCTCGCAATGCCTGTACGGCCATATGGTTTCAGCACACCATACAGAGTGGCGTCCAAAGAGGCTGTTTCCACTCGGCAGAAAGCTCTTTCGGCATCGGCATCAAATGGATCCCAAGGACTTCGAAAGTACAAAAGTACATGACGTGATGGTGGAATGCTTGCGCCGAACCATGAGGTCAGTAGCCACTGTATTGGGAAGATTCCCTTGTGACAGTGCATGGGTAAGCCCGGTGTGGAAGGGCATTGCTGAGTTGAGATCTTTGCCAAGCTCACCCATTTGTGAAGCCAAAAGTGAAGGGGGAGCACCTTGTGTCTGCTGGACTGACCGATGAAGAGCCTGAGATGCCATCTAAGACGCAGCTCAGTCGTGTGGTTTCAGAACAAGTGGGTTTGGGGTTCCATGTGGTCCGACTTCTAGGGGTGTATGGAGGCCATTGAGGCAATCGCGATTAGAGACAAAGGAAGAACGGTCTAAAATAGTTTGCTACTAGGTTGGAGGCCATTGGAGGCCATCGCTCTTAGGTTGGAGGCCATTGCTATTAGCGGTTTCTCTTTTCTCATCTTTTCTCTCTTTTCCTTCCGACCTGCAAAGGGTCGGGCATTCCTCTCCGCGACCCAGTGCTGGCTGTGTTTCACATCTATTCCCTCCGAGGCACATCAACGGCTACACGGCTGGCGCGGGGCATGTAGAAGCGGGGGCCTCTTGACGGGGCGGGAGCCGGACAAAGATCCAGACCCGGTCACCCACAGGCTTTAGTCTGGTTGGAGATTTCATTGGGATCCGTCATCCCAGAATATCGCATGAATTTCATATTGCTAATCCTACAATGTATATAATATATATATATACAGTATATATAAAGATAGGATGGGTTCCTGTCAACAATACCAACCAGTTAGTCAGTTTTGCTCAGCTTATCTCGGAACCACGTTTGGAGCTCATCTTTGGAGCCAAGGCTGGTCCTCAACCCTAAGGGTTCCTTTCTAGTTTGTCTTTGCACTTGGAGTGGGGGTCCATAGAAAATCAGAATCCCTATGAGGTAGTGCAGGGTGAAGAATTACAGGAAGTTGGACTCTGTATATAGAATATAAACGGATATAAAAGGTTTGGAATGCTCTACTGGCAGTTTGAAGCCTTTTGACCTTCGAAACAATCCAGATCCATCCATCTATCTATTCTTCCCGCTATATGGACCAATGGCTGGGCCAATGGCATAGCCTCGGCTTTTGCTTCTTCACTGCTGTGGGCCAAACTCAGCTGCAACTCGGGGTCACCCAAGGGACTAATTGGCATGGCCGTGGCCTGCTCATCGAGGCTGTGCCTGCTGCTCATCCCGTCCACAAGAATCAGATTGAGCAGAACATGAGCCGATCTCATGTTCAAGGGCGAGCAGCTGTTCGACACGTGTTGACACACCATCACAAAACAGGTCTGTCTCCGATGGTGCAGCTGCATGCAACTACTCTATTATTCAGCTGCGTTGGCCGTTGGCATTGCTTTATGCACCTCAAGCATATCTCCACATGCAGAGTCTTGTGGTCCAACGCAGCCAACGCACGTTTCTGCACGATCCTTTCTCGCTTCGGCTGCAACTCTTTGCGCAAAAGGTTTGAGAAGCTTTGCAGCAAAATTTGCTGAATCGACCCTCCTCAACGCGTTGTTCCACCAGATTGCCTTGGAGCCAGCACACTCAGAGCCTATGAAGGGTGCACTGACGTGTGGCAGTTGTATGGGTTCATTTGGAAGCGGCCTGGATGAACAAATCAGGTTTGATGTGTGATGGCTGCAAACGTCCGACCTTCTTTTTTCTTTCGGAGCAATCAAGAACAGCCATATCAGCAATATCATCCCCCAAAATGGGATTCTTTTTTGGCATCGCCCCTTAGATACTTGGACGACGCCACCCGCAAGACGTGGGTTTTGTCTCCCATCGTCAGGCCCAGGCGCCCGGGTGCCCTGGTTCGCAGGTACCGATGGGATGCGAGGTGACCGGGACCCGTCACAACTGGGGCACTCTGGCCTGGGGCACCCGTCTTGTTCGGGGTCCTGAAAAACCGTTGGTAGGACAGATCAAAACCCGGGCCAGGGGGTCTCCCTATTCGATACATCCACTACGAACGTACGTTCGAAGCTACGAACGCGGCGAGCTCCCGGCCGGTTCGCTACGAACGGAACAAGCTTCGCTCGGTGACCAGTGAAGGACCGACCCATCAGGTGAGTCACCGACACCTCGTTCCAAACGAGAGCGGCCTCGTTCGGACAAAACAGGAAGCCGTTTGATTCACCAAACTCATAGTGAAACCATGTTGAGTGTTGAGAGATCTTGACGAAAGTCGTGCACCCACTCAAAGTCATTAGTGAACGTAGTGAGGTTGAAACACGTGAACAACCACCCAAGAAACAACTAGCTATATTATACTACAAAACACACCAACCTCACGACCCAGTGGCGCAGCAGCCAGTCGTTCCACCCGCCTTCGAGCCAGTCCAAGGATTCCCGGCAGTGGCACACCACCAGGTGGACCTGCCGTGTGCGGTCGACAAGTGACCGGTACGGGTGGAGGTCTGAAGGAGACCCCCCAGTGGAGGTGGCCGGGGTAACCTCCTGCAGATTAACATGGACTCTCAAAAGCACTGGGTTGCATAGAGGAACATGGTCGAAACCGGTGAACTTTCAGGGTCCATGTTAGTCTGCAGGAGGGTCAGTATTTGTTTTTGTGCTGTGTGCGTGTTGTCTAATACAATGGTCCCACCAATCCCAAGGCATCCCAGGGCTTCATGTCTGTCTTTTCCTCACATGCAAACTGTGAGTGGCATGGTCTTCAACTCTAGTGGAAACTGGTCAGTGGAAATCGTCAGCCCCTCCGATTGGTTGTCCTTACTGCCTCCATGGGCTTTTGCCATTGCGCTTTTGCTTCAGTGACTTCGGCCAGCGCGCGGTGGTAGCTCTGGAACGCGGCCTCGAGGCCAAAGGCAAAGGAAGAACCGGAGGAGGAAGAAACGAGGAAGACATGGAAAATCGTCCTGCACCACCTCAGAGCCATAACATGAGAATGGTGTCAATTTTTGCTTTGTTTGCGTTTGAATGGGCTCGTACGTCCAGGACGTCCTTGTGGTACAAGAAATTGTCCGTGAACAGTAGGTTGGATGAACTATAGGACATCATATCCCACCTTGTTTTTGATGCCAATTGGTGATGGTTCACCACACAAAATAAGAAAACACAATCATGAAGCGTTCAACTGCTGCGACACTGAGCCAACTTCACACTCTCAGAACCTCTCAAACTCATTGAATACGTTCACTGACTGCACGGTGTTATGTGCTTTGTTTTAACCAAATAGGTGGAAAACAGTCACACCAGAGACGCTCGATTTGTCGGGACGCTCCACGGCGTCGCCTGGAGAGGCCAGATCTGTGACTGGTCCAAGTATTGCTGTTCGCTGAGGCCTTCCGCCAACGTGTCGGCCTGGGAAAAAAGAAACGAAGCGCGGCGTGATCTGGGCAGTGACATGGGTGTGGTACGTTTCGAGTGAAGAATGGAGTGACGTGGATCTGCTGGATTAACACGGGTGGATGTCCTGGGGCCTGAAAGATCAGGACTTTTGAAAATCTGTTGAAATTCAACATGTGATTGTTTTGAGAGTGTCGTAGCTTTGGTAACAAACACATGTAACCGCTTTGGAATTGACAAAACCGTGGCACAGTCTTGACATGTCTTGGCAAGTAGTGGACGTTGTGACAGGCATGGATTGTGCAATATACAGCAGTAGATTTTCCTTCACAAACAAACACATCACCATATCTTTACCTTGTTCAGGCGGAATACTCGGAGAGCTAGAACATCTGAGCAAGTAGATCCACTTCCCAGTGCTGGACACCTGGTTAGCCAAGCCTAGTCATAGCATGCCATACTCATTCTGATAACAACATAAACCCACGTGTTTTCATTACGCATTCCCGTTGAAGATGAATCACATTCGATTTAACATCATATTTGCTTGGAATGTGCCCATGACAATGGCGTGAGCCAAGTGCTGTTGATGGAAAATCAATGAAGAAGACCTTCCGCTACCTTGGGCTTTAACATCGGCAAGCATCCATTATATTTATTATCAAGTCATATCAGCTGAAAACTACTTGGTACAGCTGGTTGACTCGTACCACGAGCGAACTGTTGTCTGGGGTGAGATCAGCTCATATCAAGGCAGCAAATCCCCAAAAAGGGTCACACTGTACGTATAAACCTTACACAACATGAGCTTGCCGTCCACTGTAAATCTGAAACAGTGAAGACATGAACTTGTCAGGGTCACGTGCGCACTTCAGAACGCAGGCCAGCTACACGTGAGCGAGCGCGAAAACCTCTGTTCACAAAATCGTTTTTCATATTTAGGTCTATCATGGTATATCACTTTTGGCGTTCCATGGTGTCCCCCAAATCACTTAAGCTGACGTGAGACTGCCAAGACCTTTTGCTGGAGCATTGTCCGTCAAGTGGCTCAGCTCCTCTTCTAGGCTCAGTTTACCAAAGTGTCACCTTCAACCCATTTGCCCATGGAGCGCAAGATGTTTGGATGTCACTGCAAGAACCGCAGCTGGCTCGACCCGCGAGCTCAGAACACATCACTGCTTTCACCTTTACCGCTCCAGCTCGCTTCGTCACATGACAGTCAGAGGGTCAAACGGGCTGTGTACTAGGCTAGCGAGTGTGGTTCGCAAAGCGCTTCAGCAAGCGCGCCACCTACTCGAATCACCCTGACCTAGACGCAGCATCATAGGACCAGGTCGTACTGCATCTCTAGTACTGCTACTACTAAGACTACTAAGACTACCAAGACTACTAAGACTACTAAGACTACTACTACTACTTCTACTACTACTACTACTTCTACTACTACTACTACTACCAATACTTACTACTACTACGACTACGACTACGACGTATACGACTACGACTACGACCTATACGACTACGACTGCGACTACGACTACTACTACAGCCAGCATATTATGTTCGTTATGTTGTTTATCTGTCTTTCTGTCTTTCTTTCTCTCTTGTCTCCTTGCTCGTCTGCTGTGTGATCGGTGTTCTGTTTGGCGCTGCTGCCTGGTCTTCTTACTTGTTTCTGCACCTGTCTCCCCACTGGGGCGAATTAGTTACAAGTAGTTGCTATCTGAAGGCTATGCTGGTGTAATTCTCTTCGAGATTAGAGAGGAGACAAACACAAACAAACAAACAAAAAGAGAGAGAGAGAGATTCTATTGACACAGCAGCCCTTCCTTCTCTCGCCACTGCCCGAGATTTTCGTTTCTACATCTGAGGCGTCCTCCACAGACACTGCGTGGGTGGTTTGTTTCGTTGCTTCAGCTTCTCAAGTCGCTTTATGTAAGGATAGGAGCTCCGCTTATCTAGACAACATGTTGATCATCCCTGGGTATCGCTTAGTAAGGTATCGCTTTACGGAAAAGCAACAGAAGCAACAACAAGATTCGAATTCGAATCACATGATCGAGGTGGACCTGTTTTGGTATCGCTTTTGGTTCTTCACTCTATCACTCACGTATTTCACGGTCCGCTCATGATTTCCATGCAGAACCTGTCTCACACAAAGATTTGTGTAGACAAAACCCTTTGGATGTTACTCATGTGTCCATCTTTGCCCCCGATCAGCTTAATTCATTAAACTCCAGCCACCAGGTGGAATGTGAACCCCCCCAAACTTGCTTCGAACCCCAAGGAGCTTGAAGAACCAAGCACAAACCCTCTTGTTTGGAACAAACCACCTCAAAAAAACGCCACGGCTCAAGATTCCCACCGGAATACGTGCCCAAACCCACCCAGCTGCTCGGATCGTCGCGGCCGGACGCGCCTTGGCCAAGGCCTCGCTGGAGCGTTGGGGCGCAATCGGCAGCTGCGTCTCGGCGAGCACCAGGAACCTGCGCCACTGCTCCGGGCTCGGGCGAACACGGTCGCATGCAGGGCGTTCCCTGGTGGTGCAAGGCTGGAGAAGGTTCATCAAGGGCTAGTTAGCTGCTCAAATCAAAAGCATATGGAGAAAGGAGTCTGGCGACGTGTACCTCATGGTATTCTCGGGTTTCTTGATCTCCACCCCTACGCAGCCGTTTTGGGTCACAATATATACAATGAAATGTGCACCATCCCATATATATTAAAACGTTGAAGGGTCCGCCCCATTGTAACAAAAGGTGAGCGCCGCCAACGAAACCCTGCCACCAGGCTTTGGAATACGACATAATGACATCACTTCACCAAGCAGGGATAACATGTGATTGGAGAGATGATGGCATCAAAGGAGCAAATGATGCCAAGCTTGGTCCAAGTAGGACCCGTTTGATCCATGAGTATGAGCCAGGATGTGAAGTAGTCAGCGAGAAACCACATTTAGGGGGCAGATGTCCTTTTGCCACTCTCCGATAGCCCAAAGCACTCAAAATGAGCTCATTCCCTGTGCAATGGTCGATCGACTGACACTTTTGCAAGGGTGTTGTGGGAATCTTACTCTGTGGACCAGAGTACCAGTTCTTTATATTTGTATGGACATCTAAACATCCAACCACCTCAAATGTCAAACCAATGAACGCAAAACCTGTGGGGGAAACAAGCATTCGTGTGCCAAAAAGCCTTTGTTTCGACTGGCGCAAGCCGGCTTTTCTCACCTCTAAGAAGCCAAGGTGAACACCCAGCGGCATCAAGAACCGCCTCAAACCTGACATGTTTTTCTTTTTTTCTCTTCTCAACCACTACCAATCAGTCAGCCAAGACACGCGCTGATCAGCAAGCCGGGGCACTCCATCATGAGTTTCCTCACACCAAGCGCCCGTGCGAAAAAGATTAAACCCTCACAAACCTGTCACATGCCAGGATGTGAGGGAACCCTGTGCATCTAACAAGAAACAAAACTCCTCCAAACACAGAAGATTTCTCGATCGGAAAACTGTTTAAACCAGTGGGGAGAACTCACAAACAATAGGATAGAGCGAGCGAACACAAAGCGCCAACAAAGGTGTTTGCCTGAAGATGGTACGCAAACGCTGGAAATTATGCAAAAAAGAGGCTCAAGGTTAGTTGGTTAAACTAAATAACTAAAAGGGGGGGTCTCTGCTACTGTACCTTCCGAAGAATTTTAACTGTGGGTCAGAAGACACGACAAAAAGTACATCTGGTTGCATTGTACTGCTTTGAATGCTGAAGGAGCTGCTCATTCGACTACCCAGATGAGGCCATTGACGCTTCGCTCTGCTTGCTGACCCGCTTCTCTTGGACGTCCGACGTCAAGTTCTGCGTGGAGATGAAGATCTCCTCTCGCGGCAAAAAAACACGGGGACGACGTGGCCGTGGCGACCCAGGTGATGCGACCGTGTGAACCGTCGACGGACAACACCCACCCTTTTCCGCGGCGGCTGCCAATTCGCCGAACAGTAAGACACAAAGAACAATGCCTTGAGTCGTGGCGTAGGCCATGGTCAACTTAGTCAACTCTTCACTTGGACGGAAACTGCTTGACGAGAAAGTGACTGGACCAACTGGGGTGGGTCCCTGACGTGTTATCTGCTTGGTCAAAAGCCGCAGTGAAAAATTCTCGCAGGTGAGGACATAGACGAAACAAAGGGGGTTCCCATGACCCATGACTTCCCATGACAGGACTTTTTGTTTCGACTCAGCGATGACTTTTGTTTTTGTTGTTCATCTTGCTTCTCTGATTTCTGCCAGCTACCTTACACAGGTGAATAACTAAGACAGTAATGCGGGACTGACTCAAATGGACATCACCTTCATGCAGCAAAAGATGTGTCAACTGCGTCTCCCATGAGTCTTCAATCGCTCATGAACGGTTCCGATCTAGAGCGGTTCCCAGTTTTCCAACTGCCTCCTGCGCCTCAGATCCCCGGGCGCCGTCGGAGACTTTGGACGTTCGACCGCCTCTCTTTTCGGGGCAGGCGGGGCCGCCTGTTCACGCAGCGGACATGGACGATCTGTTTGACTGCGCCCTCGGTTCCGTCCAATCCTTCCGTCAAGGCCTGCAGTTCGTGGTTTCCGGAGCGATCATCCTTGATCTGAAGAACTGCTCCCAGTTACTTGCGGGATGGTGATACTGTGTACTTGCAGTGATGTACTGGTGCGGCATCGGCAGTTCTCGTGCACTGGCAGTTCCGCTGATTTGAAAGGCCGTTTTGTGGAGGGGCAGTTATAGTCTCATATCATCCCCGTGATGCAGCTCATCTCGGTACTTGAAAGCCTTCCAAGTGTCAAATACCTATCGATCCTTTGACCTGTGCACTAGGAGCACGATCCTAGTCTTCTAGGAGGCTCTTTCAAAGGCCCATGTCTCACATTGACAACATGGCTTTCCACCATTCCATCTTTCAGACCAATCTCCAAATCCAAAGGTCTGGGTGTGTCAGACATCCAGAAGCGAAGGACCTCGCACTGACTGCAATGACCTCAAGAGTAGGATAAAAAGGTATTAAACATCCCTGAGGTCCGGAAGCTCCTCCAAAGGAGGTGGGCCAGACTTGGTAAAGAAGCGCTGGAGCTTGTACTGAAGTTCCTGAGGTGTGGCACGCATGGCTTGTCTCTTCGATACATATCGCTAGCTACCAGGAGAAAAGATCGAGAAGCTGGAATTCTGCAGAAGTCAGGAATCAGGACGGGATATCCTCCCATACCAAAGAGCATGTCTTACAGGTACTTGATAATATATATAATATTGTATTCATACATATATATATATATACACAGTATATATATATGGTTCCACAGGCTTTAGGGAGGTCGTGGTGCAGGGATTCCTGTGTTTGAAAGCTTCCAGTGCGAGGGAAACCCAGTCTGGCCGCATCTCGCCGTCTCGCCAGGCATCTGCTCCATCCAAGGTCCAGTTCTCATTGCTGGGATGCGGCACCACGCAAACCTCGACGTCAACCGTGGTAGCGCGAAACCGGGAAAGACCATGTGGTGTGGTTGGTCTCAAAGTAAGTGGTGAGTCGTTCCTGCATGGAGTAAAGTTAGGTCTGTCAGGTCTGGTTGGGTTCATCTTCTGATCTAAATTGATGGAACTTCCTCGACGGAGCTCAAGCACCTCTCGACGGAGAATGTCCGAAATCAAAGACCTTTGGATCAATTCAACCAGCATCTATTTCAGGCGGGCCTTTCGGAAGAGACATTCACTACCTCATACTCTTCACGGAGTGCATGAAACACATTTCGCCGCACCTCACTGGCAATGATGGATGCAAAGCCACCCAGCAGGAAGATCCAGTGCATGAGCCTAATCGTTGGACAAGAAAGACCAGGGGTCAGAAACAACAGGTGCAGAACTTCAGTAGAATCCTGCTCTTGCGTATTCCTGCTATAGATGCAAAGCATGCAGAACCAATAAAAAATAGACCAGTAAAAGTGCCCAACAAAGACGTCGGGAAAATACACCGCTGCACGTCTCTTAACTCTCTTCCAGAAAAATGCCATAGCAACCTGCCAGGACCTGCTTATGGCTTCATCGATCGCGACCAGTAAAAGTGCAACGCTTTACCAGTAAAGGCAGAGGTTGGCAATCGGAAACAACATTGTCGGGTGAGGGATGGTGGCAAGCTGCTGAGGTTCTCAAACATCTGACACAAATGATGGACCTGAAGAACACAATGTGGTGAGCCATCCTGAGTCAGCAGAAAGCGGCTCGTATGGCTTAGCATATTTATAAATACTAAATAATAGCTATCAATAGCTGTGATACGTCACCAATCAACCACTATATCATAGGAATTCATTGGACAGTGGACTTCACCTCACCATAAACATGCAGCCACTGCCCGTAAGACCAAACATCGTTAGCAATACCTCAGCCGAGAAAGTGAGAACGTCGTGTCCCGGTGTACTTGTTGGCTCCTAATAGCGTCCTAGTAGCCAACGCGCGCGCGCGAAAAGGCTCCTAGTAGCGTCCTTGTTCCTAGTAGCGATGCCCTTTGCTCCTAGTAGTGTCCTACCTCATCCAAGTGCTCTTGTTGGCTTTCTTTGCACATCGATATTTTCGGTCGAACTCCTGCATGTGATCCATTAGGCGACTGCAGGGGACCGCAGGGGACAGCAACCAGGTGCGCGTGCCGGTACGCAGTCAGTGCACTGTCAGTCCACCGTCAGTCCACCGACATGCAGGAGCAAAGACTTTACTACTTGGAACCCTAAACAACCAGAAACAAATGGATGTTTCCCCAAACAGCAATATCTTCAGTAAAGGATCTTAATTGCCACATTGGAATAACTATTTGTTTCTGGTTGTTTGGGGTTCCAGGCGTTCCAGGTACCCGATTTGAGAGGCAGCGATCGTCCAACCCAGGGATCTCCAGCGACTCCACTTCCTTCAAGACGTGCGCTTCAGAACCAAAGGTTGCAAGAATAATATAGACTCTTGATGAGTAACTCCCCCCATTTGAATTGGACATCCTCTTCATTTGGGGGTTTTATCAAGAGTCTACATGGATTAGTGTTTGGGCGTTTGGGCTTTGAGCCTTACAGTGAACTTGACCCAATGCTGGTAACAAACAACCAGCTTGCCCAGCCCCTGAAGCATACCGCCCCACTGTGCCCGTTGCGTAATCGGCCATGGGATGCCGAGGAGCAGCTCATCCAAGCCCAGCACAAGTAGCTCCCAGGATTGAAGGCGACATTGCTGACTGAGCTAGTAGGTTGGAGGCCATCGCTAGTAGAATGGAGGCCATCGCTAGTAGGTTGGAGGCCATTGCTTCTAGGTTGGAGACCATCGTTAGTAGGTTGGAAGCCATCGCTCTTAGGTTAAAAACTGAAAAAACACATGAAACAAAAGAAAAGAGAAAACAAGTTGCTGGCAACTTCTTTGGTGGCTTTACTCTGTGGCAGGGCTGAGGGATGTTCGGGGGTGGGTGGAGGTGAGGGTGAGTCGAAAGCTGCTCAATTCGGTTCGTGATTTGTATTGATTTGTCCTGACCATGCTTGGTAATGCTTGGTATATGCGTGCCAGAACCATTCGGTGCAAATGTTGGCGTCGGCCAGTCAATCGGTTTGAACAGGCACTTTAAGAATACCCTTGATTGAATTGTGCCGTGAATTGATCGGACTACTTTTTTGAATCTTTTTGAGGGTTTTGCATGAACACGTTCGGTGTACAAAGTGGTGAGTTACCCGCACGAGTATGTATATCGAAGGAGTTTTGTTAGTGGTGTTGATGTGAAGGTGGATGATGTGTCATTCACGCGAGCAAATCTGCTCTGGCATGCTCTGGCCATCTTGAATGCTGCTAGAAGCTTGCTGTGACTGTTCGGCCGCCTTGACCAAAATCATCTATTCAAAGGTCGAACATCCTGTTAAAATAAAAAAAAAACATGTTGACGTCTAATCCAGGAGCCAATGTCCGGATCTTCACGGCACAACCACATCGCTTTGGCTCTAAGTCCTTTGAAGATTTTGAAGTGCCTCAAATGCTTTGCCGTTCGGATCACATCTTCATTTTCAGTAAAAAAGGAACTCCGACGTCAAGGCCGACGTCCCCTGGAGCCCAAACGAAACAGCGCTGCGGCGGGCGTGGCGATGCGGTGGTCGGCCGCCCGTCGCCAAGGCCTATGTAACAGGATTAGAGCAAACATGGGCAAATGTTCTTCGGGACCCAAAATTAATGATGCCCTCTTGTGATAGCTTCTGATAGCTATGGTGCACTGAAGTAGTAGAGTAGATGGCATGTGGAGCACCTTAAAGATGAATTCAATGGTACGACTGTGGATCAGAGCTGATTTGAGTACACCGAACCAGGATGGATGAATATTGCTTTCACTTATTTTCGGCTCAAAGTCGTTGTCATCGGGGTTACAGCATTACCACAACCAAAGCCCAGTAAGAACATTCATGAATATTCCAAGTCGACTGTCATCGTTTCCAACTGCTTCATTCGCTACCTGGATGAATATCTCCACCACCTCAGTTTGGAAGAAAAGGACACCTTCAACAATGCAAAAGCCACTCTCCACCCGCTTGCTTTCATCACCTAGGCAGCTTCGTATTTCTGGACGTGAATGGCTGGGGGAGTATTCGGGCCCAACAGGACAGCTCTCACCAGATTGCCTGCCTGAATCTATCATGGATTGGATTGGCAATGGAAAGTTACCGTGGTTTCAGAGTATGTATATATGTATATATTGGCACAAACCCAAAGATGATTTTTTATAAGGGGTCCATATAAACCTTTTGGGGACCGTGCCATCTACTCTGAAACCACTGTGCTGGCCCTCACAAAGGTCAGAGCAAAAAGACCTCCGCGGATGCACAGTAAAAACACACACACACACACCAAACGGGCCCGGGAATCCTTGAAATCACCTCCAGAAGCACAATACCTACACCTTTTGACAGCCATCCCATCATCAACGATCATCAACAAGGAATCCAATGCAACCAGCTTTCAGGTGCTGCACAGCGGTATGGGCCCACTACTAAACCACCGTTCGCTTGGGCCCTTGTGCCGATCGCCCCCCCCGGTGGACGCGCACCAAGGTCGAGCGCCAGCAGCCGTCTCTCCAAGCAAGAGCGGTGGGCATAAAGGGTACAACTTTGACACCTGAGCTGGTGTGATCTCAAAAAAACACAGAGACCACAAGGAGACCATTTGAGCTGGTGTGGTCACCTGAGCTGGTGTGTATCTGTATGAAAGCACAATGTCTGTGTATGTATCTGTATGTGTATCTCCAACAAGATGGAACCCACGAACCCGAATGCAAACACGATCGAAAAACTAATATGTCCAAAGGACACTCTTGTAGGACACTCTTGCGGGACACTCTGTAGGACACTCTTGTGGGCCACTCT